TGGATACGTAATCCTGAAACGTCTGTCTTTCATCATCAGATAGTTCTCTGTGACATAATCCTCATCCGACCTGATAAGGGCAATGGGGGTTGTGTTAATGAATAGGTCTGACTATAGTGAGACATTAACTACCTTACTATCAGACAATACCAAATTCTTCAAATCACCCAACCAGAAAGACACAACAGAAAGAACAGAAAACCTCCTTACAAAATCGCTGAAGAGAATGAAAGAAGATTCAGTCATAACATCCGAGGTATATGAGCAAATAAAACCATGCAGTTCAACTATCCCATGACTGTATGGACTGCCTAAAGTGCATAAGGAGAATGTACCACTTCGACCTATCATAGACATGATTAACTCACTATATCATCAGGTCGCGAAGTGGCTAGTTTGATACCCTTGAACCAGTGAGAAGACATACGAAGAAATATAGCCTTAGCGATACATTTGATTTCATCGACTCAGTGAAAGATATGAACGTGTCTGAAAGACAAATGATCTCACTAGGTGTCAAATCTCTATTCACAAGTATCCCCCTAACTGAAACAATATGCTTCATTTGTAATTACATCGAAACCAACAACCTAGAAGTTCCTCTCCCAATAAATTACCTGAAGGAACTTCTTCTCAGATGTACGTTCAATATCCAATTCAAATTCAATGAACAATTCTATGTACAGGAAGATGGGGTAGCTATGGAGTCTTCTCTCGGTCCACTCTTAGCCGACTGCTTCATGGCGAGTCTAGAGAACAACATCCTCGATCCTTTAATAAGTCAACTGCACTTATACAGGAGATACGTAAGTGATACGTTCATAATTTGTGATGAGAAACCTTCAACACAGCACACCCATCAATAAGTTTCACCTTAGAACGAGAATCGAACAACGCATTTCCATTCCTTGGTGCACTACTTACCAGACGACACGACTGTACTATCCAAAGATCAATATACCGCAAGCCAACGTGGACGGGACAGTTTATCAACTTCCAGAGCTTTGTCCCACTGATCCGAAAGCAAAACCTGGTACGTACGTTGTGTTCAAGGATTATAAAAATCTGTTCGGAAGACATGATAGGGAAAGAATTAAATTTATTACGTAAAACCCTACTAGAGAACGGGTATCCACCAAGATTTATTGACAAAAACATGAAGGAGAAGCCTCCGGTGTCAAACATCGCAACTGTTCCTAAGAAAACTCTCTTCATGAACCTGGACTTCAAAGATGACATCGCGGCAGGAAATCTTAGATACCACCTTTCTGAAGAAGACATTTCAAGGAGCCACCTTACGTATCACATTCTCCAGCAGACAGTTAATCCAGTCCAACGTTAATGATAAGATACCGCATTTGGCCACTTCAATGTGTATTTATCAATTTACTTGCTTGAGAAGAGCAAAGTATATCGGCCATACGCAACGTCAAGTCCACAAGCGTATTCTGGAACATTGTCCAGCTTGGTTAGCCAGAGGAGAAAAAAACATCACCAGCTCCACCCGCGAATATTTTGGCATTTCCGAACATCGAGCACCCCCGCATGAATGCTTCACAGTGCTACACAGAATCCCCCAATATCGTACAAAAGGACTTCGCATACACCATCTGTACATAGCTGAAGCGTTGGCTATTCGGGATCCGAAACCGGACCTCTGCATTCAAAAGCGTTGCATGCATTCATTTCCCCTATCGTGGCCAGAGTAAGGTTCTTAATATAATTTTCCTTCTTTTTTGTTATGTAAGTTTACTATTATTATTGTTATTACTACTATTATTTTGTTATCATTATTATTTCCCATAATCCATATTTTATTACTACTCTATTACCTACCGTTTATTAAGAACATTGCGTTTTCATACAGATTTTATATAAAAACACTTTATCGTCTTCCCACTAGTTCCTGTTCATTCTACACGAGCTTATTGATTAGTCATTATCTCACACTTACTACGTCATGCCAAATTCTGCCTCTTTTCTAACTTCCAATTAGTCATCCCTTCTAGGTTGCACCTTACATTACGTAATGCATCTTTCGAGGACAAAGTTAACCAGTATCTGATCTGTCTAATGATTTTAAAAAAAAATTTAATTACGATTGTACAGCTCATGAAAATGAATCGTCGAAAAGAAATTTTTCTTCGTTTTTCTGCTTGTTTTTTTTAGCTTACATTTGTGTGTTTTTCTACTAGTTAATATTATCCAAACTAAACTTCTTGGTCTATTTGTCTGTTTTTTTTTATGCGTAAATCTAGTAACATAATTGTTTTTATGGTAACTTGTGAATGCTTCACTGTTTGCCATCGGTTGATCGGCTTGATCGGACTCTCTAGACATACGGAGTCTTAAAGGGTGTATTTAGTGTATATGGCTACTCACTCTTATCATAAACCTCTAGGCTTACGGTGTCTTACTTCGTCGAAAGTTGCGGGCGTAGATAATATTTGTATATATCACAAAGTCCTTTCGCATAGGGAATCCCACAAATTCCAAGTAAGATGTACGTAAATGAGTTTGCAAAATCTGATGTAATTCACCACATGTCCCTTGAGCTGAAGAAGTAGACTTTCCAGTTGGGGCTGCAGTATTTTTGAAGATTTAACTGGAATCGTTTTATATTTTAAGTTAAGGTTTTCACCTACGATTGTGAGCAGTGTAGGACATTATTACTCCAGTAATGGAGATTTATTATTTATCAAGGAATGCACTTGTAAAGCACTGCGGTAGTGTAGTATTTATGTGGGTAGAATTGCGTTCAATCTCTTCTACTCATGCAAAAATTACATGGATATAATTTCTGATGATAAAACAACAGAGTAGTATTGATTGTTTACCGTTCCTTTATTGAAACTCTGTCATAATGATTAACTGAGCTCTTCTTAATTACTGTATGGAAACAATAGGCCGTCTCTGTATTTTTTAAAAACAAAAATCATCCAAATAACCTATCACTGTTTTAGCATCCTATCAGTATTCCTTCTAAAAAAGGTGATTTAAACTTCAAGATGTTTTTAACTTTACTCTTGAAATCTTTGGGTATTATGACAGCTCTAGCCGTAAATCTGAATACAGATTGATATCAGTTAGACAGTCATTGAAAATTATCATTAAGTACTGGATAGGCGTTTCATCCTTGTTTGGGACTCATCGGCAGTGCGCACCCACTGAGTTTCGAACTCAGAATCTTCCTGTTACAAGGCAAGCTAGGTTATATACCATCCAACCACTGGGACCCGATTGAGTGGCTCACAAATTGGTAGAAGTTAGAATTCAAGTTCCCGCCGATGATATTGGTTGGTGGTCGCGTTTAAATCACGAAATATTAGAAGTTGGAATTCATAGGCCATTAAATTGGGTCCCAGCGGCTGAATGGTATACGAGCTAGCGTGCCTTGTAACCGGGAAATTCCGGGTTTGAAACCCGGTGGATGCCTGCTCCCGATAAGTCCCAAACTAGGAGGAAACTGCTGTCCAGTACTCCCAAGTTTTCCAATGGTTCTCTAACCGATATCAGCTAATGGTGGAAATCCTGTAACCAATCAACCAAATCCCTACAAACCAATACTTGAAGATAGACAGTAGTTTTTCTTTCTACCATTGGATTCTGATTGGTTGTAATGTCATGTGACAAAAGGTCATACATTGTTTATTTAGTTAATGGACAGACAAAACACATTGTGAGTTATAATGGAATAACGATCAATATACACATAGAAAAATGTATCCGACTGTCGAAACAAAACAGACATCATGTGACTACATATCACTAAGTTAAGGATATTGAGCGATTATTTTGAATGTGTTGGCCACTCAAATTAGTAAGTTTCATCAACTTGAATAACAAACTAGTTGCTGACGTAATGTTAGTTGGTATACAAAAAGCACTTTTTGTATCCGCCAGCATGCATCATCTCTATCACCGTTGTGATATCGGAATATTTATCGAAAACGTGTATAATGCTCAGTAGTTCACTCGTTGATCGAATGCTGAAGTGAAAAGATCTGTCTTTGCTCAATTGGCTGCTTTAGGTGGAGTGAGATTTTGAAATTAGATATAAACTGTCCATCGATTGAGGTGTCTAGGACGTGTCACCGCTTTTCTAAACGAGTAGTGTTGACTAAAGGCAAGAATAGACTGAATGAGTATCAGGAATCATCGAATTGAAACAATGCATCAACTCATGAAATGACTGAGTATCTGTTTAACACTTGTAGGGAGTTTTATGCCGTGTGTTGCTGTGGTCTCCGTTATGCTAAAAATCAATAGTCTGAGATTTTAGGTGAGACACGGTTGATGATCGTTTATTATCCTGTAGACCCTGAAAATCACTAACCCTCTTTTAATTATCTCCTTCGTACACGTGTTTGTTCATTAGAGAGTATCATTCTTTTATGTCCTTTCCTGTTTTCTATACTTTTTTACGAAGTCTAACTGCTTAAATTGATGCCTTCTATCTCTGTGTCTTTAACTGTGCTTTTCTGTGTGCTTATATGTTTATGTGCTGTTCACTAAAACAAATCAGTGTATTGCCTTTTTACTTTTGTCAAAGTAAAATTTTTAGGAAATCATATTTTAATGTAAATTTGTCAGTTATCCCAAGTGTGACAGGTAGTTTGTTTCTCAAGTGGATGCGCGGGGCATGCATCCGATGGCATAAATATGAGTCCTGTCAATCCATTATACACTAGTGACTAGCTCTAGGATGAGTTTCTTGTTGGAGACTGGTGGAGTCTATCAAGTCACATGTGACTTATTATTGAAATTGGATAGTAGTAGCAATCTGTCGTCAATTAGTAGATGTTAGAAGTCATAGTACTATTCAGCTCAAATTGTAAAATCCAACTTCTGCCACTTCTCTAAACACTGCCATACCAATCACTTCTTCATTAACCCCACCCGCCACACTACATATAGACTTATCTAATTGCCATATTTCATGTTGTATGACTTTCGCGATGAGCTTCTAATGATTAAGTTCTGATTATTTAAACTTTCAGAGATGGTTATCGATCACGCCGTCGTAGTCGTTCAAGCAGTCGGGAGCATTATCATTCACATCATCGTCGGTAAGTTTTCGTCTCTTCCATCCATTCACTTTCTGGCTTGTAAACTGATATAAGAATAGAACTTGGGCAGTGTGGTAGAATATAATTCCACCATTAAAGAAATTTATTTGATAAAAAGCACACAGTATTACAGTATTATTTACTCATTGATAACATTTCCAGCACAATTTATTCCTCATAATCATATCGAAGCATTTACGTAACGTTCAAACGTGTATCATTCGTATTGCACATCTTAGATGCAGATTCAATGATGTCACACAGTCTCCCCATACCCACCTACGTTACTTTCTAGAACTTGAGCTCTTTCCCACCCTATCACATGATTGTGTGTTAATGCATACACTGTGACTGAAGAGTTTCTAGCATCAATCATTGTACACTTAACTAAATTCTTGTGTTCCTCACTGACCCCGATCTACTGGTCGAACTTATGTAACTGACATCGCAATCATTGAAGGTATTTTGTAGGTTTAAATGTCCCCGTAATCCCGCTTTATTAAGAATTCTAAGTAGAGGGGTTTCAGACATCTCTCTCTTATATGGTAAAACTGTAGATAGATGCCTTAAATTCTTCCTTATTTATGTTATCATCAATAGTTCCACTAATATTTATACTTTTTCTTGTGAGTTTTTTTGATCTTCCTCGTGAAGTTTACGGGATGATAGTTGTTATTTAGCACCAACGCTTCTTCTGTCTGTTTCATTTCATTATTTAAGTTTTCTGATGTACTATTTAGAGTTATTGCTCGGTTTGTTAGACTGCTTAACTACGCTTGCCTTTACAAATAACATATGAGATTATTAGTATGGGTTGCATTTTTAATGAGCGCCTAGTGTATATAGCTCACCTCCCCTTCTGTTCGTTTTATTTTACATTCTACTATAGCTAACTCTTCTTGTTCATTTTCTAATTCAAATGTAGATTTTATTCTTTCTACTCAATAGTCCTCGAAATGTGTTCAGCAGATGATACTGTATCACTGTCTGATTTAATGGAATAGATTTCCTCTGATGTGGAAATGGCTGTCTGAAAACTAGTGGATCAGCTAAATGGGTTTTATAATGTCTGACAATATGAGAAATGCTGAATTTGTTACTGGCTGTTCTGTGTTATCATTTTGATGTTTGTTTAAACCGTTAACAATGGCTGTTCTTCATGCCGTGATTAGAAAAAAAATCCTGTCACTACTGTACTGCATTTTGTGGTGGTATATTATAAACTAATAAGTTTTTAATTTCAGTTGTTAGACTTCATCATGAACCACTGACATCATTTGCAGAGGTTATTGAAGACCGAGGAGCATTGGACATCTGTTTCATTCCAGTTTGGAACTCTTCATCTGTTCACAACCCCCGACACTTACAGGTTATGAGACCAAACTCGTTGACTGTTCATCCATTTGGGCCGGAATTCATTGATCCATGAATTCTAACTTTGTCAGTTGGTGGTTAATGTAGCGCTACTTTCAACCAACGCCTTCTATAGGCATCCACTTCATCTTGATGTGGTGGACCCCATCGGTCACAGCCTCTCAGTGTACGGCTTCAGGACATCCTTCCAGTAGCTATCAATGAACTGGAGATTGATATTTGGATTACAAGTGTTTTGTAGCGATTTGGATGAATTTCAATGTAGGAGGAAACAGCTAGCTAGCTGTCCAGTGCTCCTTGGTTCTCAATAATCTCTAATCGACGTTTGGTTCGCGGCAAAATCTACGTTGAAAATTAATCTAAATCACGACAAAAAAGCGCATACTCTAAATATTAGTTTTTTTAGTTTTAATTGAAATGCTGTTTCATCCTACTTTTAATAATTACTCAAGAGTTAGTTTGTTGGGATTTGATTTGTTACAAGTTTGACCATGGATTGATATTAGTTAGAGAACCAACGGAGAATACTGAAGGGCTGTTTCTTCCTAGTTTGGAACCCATGCGGGGGTACACATCCACTGGGATTCGAACCCAGGACCTTCCGGTTACAAGTCAAGCTCGTAGATCAATCAGCCTCTGGGACTCAATTTAATGACCGTGGTCAGATTTGAGACAGATCAAATCTCTACAAACTAACTTTTGAAAGTTAATCTGATACTCGCTAGTGACTAACTACAAGATGAAATTGCTTGGAGTTGTAGGCAGAAGTCATGATCAGTGGGGTCAACCCGGTTGGGCGGGGTGGGGACAAATACTCACCGATGATATTGGCTGGTGGTCGCTCTAAAATCACGAATTGGAAGAAGTTAGAATCCATGGTCTGGCCATTGGATCGGATCTTATTGGCTGAATTGTATACGAGTTTGCCTTGTAACCGGAAGGACCTTGGTTCGAAACCCGGTAAGTGATTACTGTCGATCAATCCCAAACTAGGACGAAACGTTTGTCTATTACTCCCTGGTTTTCAGTGGTTCTCTAATTGATATCAATCCGTGGTTAGACTAAAAATAATCACTCAATGTGGCCAATGGATATTAAAAGCTAGTTTATGCTTCGCTTTATCTATACTCAGTCATGTATTCTTCCTATTGTCCTTTTTATAAAAAGTAGAATAATGAGTATCCCGTTACAAGAGCATGGCAACTTATCAAGATTCAGTTTGACATATGAAAGGTTAATTTATTTTCTTTCTTTATTCATATGGTGTGTAGTAGTATGTTCTTCTTGTATATGGTTTGCATTTCACATGATTTCTTTCTATTTCAGGCATCGTGATTCATCACGATCTGGACGAGACTATGAACGTCATAGAGGGACATCACGTCATTCTCGTCGTTCACGTGATCGTCATTCTGGAGATGTTGGTGGTGCAGATGAACAAAATCCTCCAGAAGCTGTCTCACCAACTACATCACATCGAAGTAGTGGACGAAGAAGTGAACGTGATCGAGACAGATCTGGTCGTGATCGTAGTCGTGAAAGAGATCGTAGCAGGCATCGTAGTGAACGTCGTGATAGAGAGAGATCAGAACGGCCTTCTAAACAAAGTGATCGTCATTCATCGCGTCGCAAAGAACAACCACCACCTTCTCCACCAAGAGGTATGTCTCAAGTCACTGCTATTACTTCAGAGAAACAACCAACTCCTAGTAAAGTTGATCCTTTATCAGCTGCTGCAGCGGCCGCTGCTAGCATTGCCGCTGCCTTAGGAGCTCCAATGCCTAGTAGTAGGATTTCTTAATATAGAGAAGGTAACAGACTTCCTCCCTTTGAACAATCTGCAGTGCACGTTGTACAGTCTCTGTATTTTTACATGAATACATGAATATTTTTCATGCATTACTTTTGACAGTTTGCATCCACTTTTTTTTTCTTTCGTCGTTTACTATTCAAGCTAAGCAGTTTTACTTTCGCATTCATCATTCACCAACTCTTCTTGTCGTTTGTGTTTTATTGTACACCTAGTCTCTTGAACCGTTCTGTACATGGTTGGCTTCTGTATTTTCAATGAGATTTCCTTTGTATGTATCATATATTGTTTAATTTTCAAAAAAATATATCACATGGATTTAAAATCAGTGAAATAGTTTATTTGTGAATTATTTTTGAAAGCTTTCACTGTATTTATATTAAAATTCTCGAATTAGTTATGTAACGGGAGGAGAAGGTAAGAGACTTGGTAGCGGACTTTTTATTGAGGATAAACACATCATATTTATGCGTTATTAGCCACATTAAAGTCTCGCTATGTCAGAGAAGAATAAATTGTTATGATTGGTTGACAATTGGCCCAAGGTTAAACAAGTTGTCCAATGAAGTTATTCCACGTCCACTACATAAACTAAATCCTGATGGGAGGAATGAACACTTCTACTGCTTCAGGCATTGAATTAAAACGTTGATTTCAATTTTTGGCTGCTTCCTAACAATGTGCATCACAGCATGGTTGCATCTAGGAGCTTATATATATATATATATATATAGTGCGGACCTAATAATATACTCAGTAATTACGCGAAATTTCAGAGTATACAGTTACTTGAGAATAAGTTTAGGTCGATTGTCTACAAATTTAATAATATAATCCGAAGATCTTTCTGTAGTAATCTTTCGATGATTCTTTACTGTAGGTTTGCTAAATTAGTTGCTAAATCTACTTTGGAAGGCAGTTTGAGTTGCCGGTAAGTTCCAAAAAATGCAACTAATATTTGTGATGGCATTCAGGTAGCCGATAGTAGAGAGGAGATGACATGCAAGCTAATACATGCGTATATTTTTGATTTTCCCCAAGAAAAAGTACCTTCTTGAAACACTTATACAGATGTGCTGAACAAGGATTTGTTTTTAAACTAGAGATATACACAGGATTTTGGTAGGAAGCAATGCCATTTTTCAACTACATATGCATATATATATACATGTCGAAGATCAGATAGTAGCATCAACTCGCAAACAAAATATGTTTCTTGCTAATTAGATGGAAATGCATGTGACAGATACTCCTTGCTGATGAGTGCCAACTAGCACGAAACCTAGGTCGAAGGCTTCCTACCGATTGCCTCCAACTATCCAATATCATCAAATCAATGTGCACCGTGATGGTGAGCTACTTAGAATGGTGGCTCCATTGCAAACCTGACTGACAGAATTCAGTCTGCACCAAAGAAAGGACTAGGCACATCACACTGGTTACTAGTGTCCAATGAAAATACCCAATTCAGTCCTACTGGAGGTCAATCGCGAGCCCGAATAGCTCAGTGGTAACGTCTGTGACTGCAGCACTGGGTGACGCGTGTTCGAATCTCAGAGGGACATGAGTTCCTTCAAGGTAACAGATACGCCTTTCTGACTAGTGAGTGCCAACTAGCACGAAACCTAGGTGGAAGGCTCCCTGCCAGTTGCCTCCAACTATCTAATATGACTGAACACTATTAGCTGTTACTCATAAACTTGTCAGAGGAAACTTTGTTGCTTACTAGTGAAGAGTCCCAAACTAGGATGAAACATCTGTTCAGTACTCCTTGATTTTTGTTGGTTCTTCAACTGAACTCAGTTCGTGACTTGAAATAAATCAAGTCCCTGTACAACCCAACACTTGGGAACAAGAAAGCGTTGTGGATGCGGAGTTCACAGTTTGCCAATTAAGCATTATATTTCCATTTATTTATTTTATCCCATGCCACTCTGATAGGAATAAGGTTGACCTTTGAATTTCCTGTAGCAGTGGTTTTTTATTTCTACGGGTCAGGGTTGCTAGCTTCACTCCCAGTCTTACCTCTTTACTGACTTAGCGAAGTTTAGGAGTGCGTCCCCTGGGGATTGAATCTCGGACCATTTGCATGGTTGCTGAACATTCTACCGCTGAACGCACCAGCAGCGCCAAGTGAACATTGCGTAATGGGAATTTATCGATTTACTTTGGAAACTAAGATTATTCAGACCAAAATAAGTGACCTAAAATGGTTACAACACCGGTATACCAAGTTCTTACATCCTTTATGTTAGAAGATGACAACGATTGATACTTGATAAATGAACACGTGAGGAGTTGAAAGAGGAGAACTACAGGTGTCAGTGTGCTTTATATGGTACATTCAGAACAATTACAGGAGTGTTTCAGAAACAAGAACAGAAGTTTGACGTTAATTAGGTGTACAAGTAAAATGAAATAAGTAGCACGTGTTCCGTACGACTTCCGGGTTTTGATGGGATTAAAATAATAGTAAACTGAGAAACCGTTGAATATTCAAATAAAATGTATGAACAAAGAAAAAAAAATTAATAAAAGGATAAGAAATGATATCAGTAAAACGTTTGAGCATTGTGGATTAGATCAAATAAAGTATAATTATATTTTAATAGTTTACACACAACGATTAAGTTTTGTTATTGGTAATATTTCGAGCAAAATTACTGCCCGTGTTCACACCACTGTTGGAATTGTTTTGTTCACACATTTATGATTTGTACTCATATATATAGTTCATTATTTTTGCTCATTCATCCTTTTTTTGTATTTGAGTTGTATTCCAAGTTCATTCATGTTTTTGTATTCAGAATTATATTCCAAGTTGTTGATAGTTGTACTGAGTCACCCTTGTTACATGTATCCGGTGTGACTTTAATGAATATCGATTCTGTTATAAGTCTTTCTTTCCATTTGTTCATGTTAGTTTTTAGAATACACACAATGTTCCAATCGATATTGTGGTTTTTTCCTATGCACGTGCAGCTATCGATGAATTTTTTTCAAGATTTTTGTAGGCTTGTGTTCCTGTTGGTTGACCTTTGGTTAGGCGTTTATGTTCATTCACTCTTATTTTGAGTGATCTAGACGTTTGCCCCACATATTTAGTCGGACAGTCAGCACAAGATATTTTGTAAATCAAGTTGTTTTTATCCATCATTTTTATGGGATCTTTCAGTTGATTTATTTTATTTTTGATTAGATTTGTCGGTGTGAACACGGGCAGTAATTTTACTCGAAATGTTACCAATAACAAAACTTATCATTGTGTGTAAACTATTAAAATATAATTATACTTATTTGGGAAGTACCATCAGCCCCAACTGGTTGATCTCTGACGAAATCTCAGCACGGATACAGAGGGCTAGTTTCGCATATGCCAGTTTACGCCGTCTCTGGCATAGACGCGATATCCGACTATCGACCAAAGGGCGTGTGTACTGCTCCACAGTCCGCTCCGTCCTCCTTTATGGCTGTGAGACCTGGCCATTGAGAGCGAAAGACATAAAAAGATTAGCTGTGTTCGATCATAGGTGTCTGCGTTCTATCTCCCGTGTGAAGTGGCATAATAAGGTGAGCAATATTGAGGTTAGGCGTCGAGTGCTAGGTAAGGAGGGGAAATCAGTCGACGAGACTGTGAAATTACATCGACTGAGATGGTTAGGACATGTGTTACGTATGCCTAGTCATCGCCTTCCTCGACGGGCAATGTTAGCTGGCTGATATAGGGTCAGGCTGGAAAACAGCTAGCGGCGGTCAAACCAAAACATGGTACCAGTCAATGAAATCTACAACAGTTAGTCTAAGCCACAGAGGAAGGTGTAGACTTCCTGGTTGGGATCGTCGGGACGGTAAAAACCAATTGTTGGAAACAATCGGTGACATGGCTCAAAATCGTTCTCAGTGGCAGGCGCAGATGCATCCACTCCTTGTGACTTATGATTTCCAATTAAATTGTTTTGTTCTTCGTTATTACTATTCCTTTGTCTCACACCTTTGTTTACTGTCTATATTATGCATTTCGCCTACTTCTTTCTCTTGCTTTGTGTGCTACATGGAGTGTGGCGACTTGAACTGTCGCACATATGTGCAAAGTTCTATGTCAAAAACCGACTGACCGATACTTTATGTGGTAAGAAATGAATTTGTGAAAATTAAATGAAGTAATTAAATTGAAAAGAAAAGTTCTCACCTTAGTGTAAGGGAAGAGGGACAACCGTTTCTTTCTGTGAATGCACTAGTTTGTTTTTTTAACCGTTTAATCGTTACAGATTCAGTGATACCTAGTAGACTGTAACTAAGTTGTACGTCCGTTATCTTACATGATTTTAAAATATCGATTTTGTGACCCTTATATATATGAGTAGTTGAGAACGCTTAACTCCAAGTAGTAGTGTTCGCTAGCCAGGTGAGGTGATTTAATCACTGGATGGCCATTTCACTCGATTGGGGTTGGGCTTAACAGTGGTGTATCCGCACTGACTCAGATTAGGAACCTGACTAACTATTTGGCCAAACGTATAGTAAGTTCAATCAAATTTACAAACTAATTTCAAATGGCAACTGGTGAAATTTACCTCGAGCTGCATAAATTGGAAATCGTGGCTTCTTTGGACTTGTTAAATTAAGGTCATGTTCTCCATGTAACGTTTATAAAATTCGAATTCGCCAATTACAAGTTTATCCTCTAATTTCGCTTAGCACAATTGGCTAGGTTCGGTCCGAGTAGTGACTCCATAGTTACGCCATCAGTGTGCCTATAGATTTCGTTGCAAACAAAAGGAAATGTACATTTATTAAACACCCTGTTCTCTATGTCTTATTTAAGGGATTTATTACTTCTGTGTACTAGCAATGTTAGGTTTAAATTTCAAGGCGATTGTTTCTGTCAGGTTGATGGTGTTGCTATGAGAAGTCCGTCAGTACCACTTTTAGCAGATATCTATATGTCGTACATTGAGAGTTTATCGGAGGATTTAATCGAAAATGTGCCACTTTATAGAAGGTATGTAGACGACATTGTAATCATAAGTGATAAGCCTTGTTCTGCCACCTTAATTTTAATTCGAATGAATGAAGTCCAGAATAACATATCACTTATACCTGTAGAAGAGGAAGATAATTGTTTATCTTTCCTAGATATATTGTTTAGTCGATGCCTTGATGGATCAGTAGAACGATATATTTATAAAAAATCTACCTGGACAGGGCAGTATCTTAATTATCACAAATTCTGCTCTGTTCGGTACAAAACAGCCTTTTTGAGCGAAGTGCCTCTTCAGTAGAAACCAACGAATATGCACTGACGACACACTTGGTGAGGAAGAAAGA